CTGGTTATCATCTGAGTTATCTTCAGTTAGGGAATGAGCAGAAATTAGATGATTTTGATTTATTATAGTGACCTACTCCCTCCTCTCTTCCTGACTAGTTATACAAGCTTATCACTCTATTAAGACCTAACTAAACTGCTATACCCTCTCACCCTCTAAGAAATTAGCTGATTTCTGCTCATTCTCTTAAGAGAGTAATATAGGGACTAGGAGTAGTGTTGTTATAAGAGTGAGTTGCTGATATAGTCAGCAACTTTCTAATAGAAATTACAAGTTTCGTAGTTGTAGTATTTTTGTTTCTTCTTTTTTTTATTGTTATTGTTTGTAAAAAGAATAATATAGTCTTGTTATGACTAGTTATTTATTGCGAAAATATAATTTTATTAGTAGTTTATGTAACTTTTCTCCTTTTCTCAGTTTTTGTTTTGTATATAAATTGATATACGGAAAAGAGTTTTTTTAATTTGATTATAATATTATATTGATTTTGATTTTTATACTACAGATATAAATATATATATATATTTTTTTTAACTTAGATAACCTTACTCTTGGTTTATTAGTAGAAGATTTATAAAAAATCATAATACAAAATAAGAAAAAAAGCTAATATTCTAAACTAATAATGTATCTCATTTTTGCAATCTCAAATTCACTCAGCTTGCCTTATGCTACTCAGGTACGATCAACTACAAAAAGTATTTATCTTTCTAAAAAGTGTTCTACCTAAGTAGAGTAGTTCTTTCAGATCAACAATAAGTTCTTTTACATCTTATCAAGGTCTTAGATTGCTTCTAATCTAAATAAAACTAAATTACAAACTATTAATATCTAGTTTAAGTTAAAATAAAAATTGTTATATATAATAAAATATAGCTAATTATATGAACTAAGCTTATAAGAGAAAAATCTGCTATCAAATTAAAAAACTCTTACAAGTAAAAAAGTAAAGAAAAAGAAAAAGAAAACAAACACTCTTATTAATATAAAGAAAAAAAGAATATAACAAAATATAAAAATATTATACTATACAAAAACAAGAATACATATCTCTAGTAATAGATTCATCTGAAAGTTAAATTCTAATTGGATCATCTATGTGATAGTAATATATGTATTTGTTGTCTTGTCTAAGTTGCATATCAACAGATAACTTATCAAATTAGGAAGTAGTATGAACTTGCAAATCCTTTGTCAGGAGTTCATTAAATCCTCTACTTTTTTATTTTTTAGTATAGAAAAATCTAAAAAGTCTAAAGGAAAAGTGAAAATAGTATCAAAAAATTTAAAGAGAGAGTATATTTTCCAAAATCTACTATCTACTTGTATCCACCTAGAGTGTAACCAGTACTTATTTTCTGTGAGTAAGTGATAAACTCTAAGCTTGTTAGCAAGTAGCATATGAGAACTACTTTTAAATAACAAGTACTGCTATAATATTGCAGTAAGTGATAAACTCTGAATCTGTTAGCAGATAGCATATAAGAACTATCTCTAAATAACAAGTATTATCTTATGCTTCTCTGCATTGTTGCTTTTGTATTTCTACAAAGTTTATTGTATATTTTTTAAAAAAATAAGTTGTGAAATTTTGGTATGAGAGATTATTGAAAAGAGTTGTATAGATATAAAGATATTAAAATACTATTATTAGTATAAAAAGTATTTAAATATTTTTAATTTAGTTTTCTATTATAATAACTTTATTTTTTTAGTATTATGAACAATTTTTATATTATTCATTTGAAATACTAATATTTATTAAACTCTAGTTTTAAATTTTTACAAAATTCTAATATTATTAAAAAATTGTTTTATAGAATTTTATAGAAAACAAAGTTTAAAAGGTTTAGTAATCTAGTATAGTAGTTAGGTTGTCAGACTGCTATACAATAGGTCTAGAGTTCAAATCTCACTGTTGATGAATTTGAATAATTTCTTAAATCTTATAATATGTTATAGTAAACTTTATTCGATTCTGAGTGCATATCTCTGTAAATTGAGTTGTACTAAATATATCAAAACTTAGAAGTATAGTGTAATATTATACAAATAAATTTTAATAGAATATATAAGCAAAGGATCTGCATAGTAGAAATTCTGAGTTAGTAAAGTAATATAGCTTTCTGACAAGACTATATTAGCTAAAGTTTGATTTGAGAAGAAAACTTAGTTTAATAAAGATATAAGGTTTTAAGGTCTCTAGACAAAGGATAACTAGAACTAGCTGAATACTGAAAAATGACTAGGTTGACTAACTAGTAGAGGACTATGATGAAACCTGAGATTATATGAATATCTACAAGAATCTAAACTAGGTGAATTTATAAAATAAGTACAGACCACTCTAGTAGATTTGCTTCAAGATTAACTAGCTCTGCAATACTAGCAATATGTCTTGTATAATGTATCTTAAAAGAACTTAAGCTATTTTGAATAAATAGATCTGTAACAAGCTAGCTAGCTTAAGCAGTTAGATGTTGTAGTAATGTTAAATTGGATCTGTATAGGTTAATGAATAGAGTGTTTAAATAAGTAACTCACAGATAGGTTACAAGTATGGCAGCATAGTGTAAAACCAATCAGGTGGTCTAACACCTGTGCAGTAAACTACTTAAAATAGACAATGACTAAAGTTATATATGTGGTTTGTTGTATACTCTTTATATAATTACAAATAGTAGAGATTATCAATATATAATTTCGTTAACAATACTAATAAAATTCCTTCAGTAATGTAAACCGCCTTAACAACAAAAAAAAAAAAAAAAAAACAAGGTTTAGACTTTTAATAATAGAATGTATTCATTTATTATATTTATTATTTTTTTAATTGATTTTTTTTTTATATCAACTGTTCTCTTCTATCTTCTTTTTTATATAAATTTCAAAGTAATTTTGAATTTTCATACTTTCTTATATAGCTCTTTGAATAATTAATCCTGTTTTAGAAATTTTACTTTAGAGTTTATAAAGTGACTATAAATTCGATTACTTTACTATTTGAGTTAGTATTTAAAAATGTTATATGATCATTTATTATTCGAGGTCATAGTATATTTATCGTTTAGTAACATAGCAGATAAATCGGCAAATAGTTTTATTAAAATTCTTAAAATCATGTGAATTATGTAAAATACAGAAAATCACTGTCTCTGGTCCGAAACATAATGATCAGCATGCTACACAAACGCGTAAATAAGTATTTTTATGTTACTCTAAAGTACAAATATAGACACGCGTGCGGACGGACAAAAAAATTCCAGATTACATGAACATTAAGGTTGGGGGCACGAAAAATTTTTTGGGCATGCCTAGGAGGGCATGCTTTTGTCGAGGGCATGCCTCTCTGTGCCTTCTCTAGATATCATAATTGATTAACCTAACTTATCAACTATGTAATTGACCAATCAAATCAACGAAACTTCATATGTGAGGTTTTTCTATATAAAAGAGCAGGAGGCATGTCTTTTAGCCAAAGGGCATGCCCTAGGCATGCCTCCCTGGGCATGCCCCTGAGGTATGCCTTGAGACACCGTGCTCCCAACCCTAATGAACATGCATCAAAAAGTAACAAATTTTGGTCGAAATGCATCAAAAACGTAATTTTAGTATCACTTGACGTAAACACTAAGAGTCTTCCGCTACGCTACTGATACTGTTATTATAACAGTTGAAATATGCACACCTTGCATTATAATGCATAATCCGAATAATTTATCGAATAATTATTTTTTACTCTATTTTATCTCAAATTTCGGATATCCAATTAGTTAAATGGATAAACGATTAATTGTAGTGTGGCAGTTTTTCCGGATTAAATCCGCTACGGCGAAAAAATTAAACATCCACTTAAAAGATTTTCATTATGCAGCACTCATATTACTCATATTATTAATTATTTGATTCATTTATTTATAATTTTATAGTCGTAAATTTTTTATTCCATAACTCGCGGTCTAAATTATCCTCCCCTCTAGAATATTCACCTGAACATTTGAATATTATAATTGTACAAATTTGATTTCATATTCTTGTACTAATTATGATAATGTTTGAATATCCTTCCCAGTAGAATATTCATCAATTTTTTTTTTTTTAATGATATTATCAATTTTTTTTTCAATATTTAAATATGCTGATTTATGTACTCAATTTAAATATGTCGATGAATAAAAAGCTTTTTAGGTATTTAAAATACAGTATAAAATACTATTAAATTATTTCTGTTTTCGATTTAGTTGAATTGATAAATTCTTAAATTTTTCAGGAGTCTTAATGAATCCCTGAGTATGTATTGTATTATAATGATAGCATGCAGAATACATATGCAGTAATTCAGGGATTATTCAGGGTGTGCTCTTTGCGATCATCCAGACTATGTAAACAATAATTCCGAAGAATTATTTCAAAAATCCCAAATCATTAAAAAAATATATATAATTTTTTTTAATTGTTAAAAATTTTCTATAATTAATAAAAAAAATTTTAAAATTTTAAACAACTTGCTAAAAATAAACAATTTTCTTTTGATACGTACCAATTTTAAGTTTCCAGTCCTGCATCAAAAATTTTATACCCAATTTAAAGTTTTCAGGCCTTACATACAAAATTTTAAAAAATTCTGCCTAATTAAGTTTATTCTTTATAACGATAAATCTTATAAAAAGAGAAAAATATTTTATACAGAAAAAGAATATAAAAATTATCCAATAGTACTGGTCGAGTTATAATTTGAAAAATTATCGAGAATGGTATTAAATAAGTTTTCCAACTACAATTTAATAAAAAAATATAACTAAAATTAATTAACTAAAATAATTAAATATTTGTTACATTATCATAACTAAATGAAAATAAATTATAGGTTATAAATTGTGACACAAAGTGTGTTAATACAGCATCTCGCATAAAGTAACAAATCGATACAAATACTTTATGAATTCTTTAGTTGGTTCATGATGATATTTATTTATTATATCGTTATATTCATAACACGATTAAAAGGAGTTTCTTACATATTTTGGCAAAAAACGTCGAAGTGGGGATCTTCGACATGAGAGCGCGAAATCTTCATCATAATGATCACAAAATAAAGTTGCTTCATCATCTTCACTACACCCTTGAAAAAGATGACCCTCAGCAATTTCTTCCATATAATTTTCATTACAAATTATTCCTTGTTGAATAATATTTGGTATACATGGGCATGTCTCCGATGGAATTGCGGATCTTTTAAGAAGTGAAAAACCAAAGCAAATGTAGGATGTAAAGAATTCGAAAATTAAGAATTGGATTAATAAATATTTTGTGGAGCTTTTAATAAAATTAGACATAGTGAGATAGTGTAATTACTTGTTCTTAATTCGGTGAAAGTGAAAGATTGAAGGAAATTTAAAAGAATTTCTATATGAATTATATGAAATGAATACTTATGCCATCAGTTTATTGTGATTAATAGAAATTTGATACAGTATCGTAAACGCGAATCTTTTCATTAATAAACTACTTATATTAAAATCTTTATGAAACCACGAATTATATTAAAATCTTTACTGAAACCACGAATTATTAGTTTTTAACGTTAGATAATTAAATGTATTCTTACTGTTAACAGATATTGATATACGTAGTAATTTGTCTCCTGCATTACAATAACTAATACTTGATGGATGTTTCAATTCCAAATAACTAACGATTAATGCACGCCTTTCAGATTGAATTAAGACATGTGACTTTGAACACATTAACGTTTCAGTTTTCACATGTTACCATTGGAGTTTACAGGTTACGCATGGAATGTCTCTAACTTGATTTGTTGATAACATAGTACGATTTCCTTTTCTTGGTTTGTATGACCAACATATGCTTCCGCAGATCCTAGTGTTGTAATTACACATTAATTCACGTGAGGTGGAAAGGCAAAAAATATTACCAAATTTACTTTCATCACAGAAATTTGTAAAGGTCATGGTTTCTTTTGTTCCCTAGAAAGAGTGAGTTTTTCTTTACAATGAGTTTTTTTTTTCTTATTTTAAAGTTCAAAGAGATTGTAGTTTTTATTTTTTTAGGATAATATTTATCTATATGTTTGTTCCATTCTTGAATTTATTAACATATTTTCATTGGATCTTTTAAGTTTGGTTACGTATTACTATATTGCTGCAACGTAACAGTGTACGTACACTGTTAATTAACTTTTTTTATACGCATCATGTATCATGTATCGGTATTAATTAATTCTCGAAAAATTTAAATTATAGTTTTTACCCAACATCCTGGGTCATCTTTTTTTTTTTTTTTTTCGAAAAAAAAAAACAAAAATTATACACGGAGTGTATTTTTTATTTACCTTTTACTTTCTTCCTTTATTTTCGTTTCTTCGTTAATCGAAGATAACTTTTGACTATTTTACGAAACTTTTTCATAAAACCATAGTGATCTCGAACATAAAAACCAACTGAATAATACACTCGTGTTTTAATATCATTTTATTTTTTATTTTTATTTTTATTTTTTTCATTTATATATAGACTCATATATGTCATTGAATTACTTTGAAAACCCTTGTAATCGATATTTTTATTACTTTCCCATTTCAAGCATTCACTTTTTCTTATTCTATAATATATTGTATTCTTATCTGTATTTTTATAAATATATAGTTTCATAACATATAGGAAAAATGATACTATCGAAACTTTATACGGACATTCTTTGGTTGATTCCGGTAATAACGTACTTCACTTTGGTGAACTATGTGGTACCTGGGCTGGGTGACTTATTATTTTTAAGGGTCTTAAATGATATAATTTATGGACGGGTCCATAAATTAAAAAAACTTAAACTTCCAACAATGGTATGTCGTAATTTTAACTCTATCAAACAAACCGTTAAAAAAAAAACAATTGAAATAACATATCAAATATTATTAAAAAAAATTCTAATTTTTATTCTTTAATTTATTTTAGTCCACTTTTTCGATAATATTCAATTTATACTTTTCACTACCAAAAAAATCAGATCAAATAACTAGTCATAATTTAAATTTATTATTATCTGAGTCTGAACGTGATTCTTCAAAAACTACTTTAGATCGAATGAAAGAAGAAAATCGTCAATTATTATCAAAATTAACAAATTTAGAAAACGTATTTAAATCTGAACCATCAAAAAATATATCTACAATGCCTATATCATATAATACAAATCACACAACAGGAAATTTAAGTGATAGTGATAACGAAGACGATTATTATTGTACAAATAATCGACGACGAACTTCTCGTAGATCAAGAATTAATAGTAATAGAAGCATTAGTAGTACAAGACAACGTAGTTCTGGTTACTCTTCAAGTAGTAATACTGCCACTACTAAGAATACTTATTTATTCTCTTCAACATCTGCTACGAATAATGGTGATACTGATATTACTGGTTTTAGTTCTGATGAAGGTAATAATGAAAATCAACTTGTAGTTGATGAAAAAACTGAAGCTGGAAATAAAATGTACTGGATGCATAAAATAATAGAATCTGTTGAGGAATTTGATCCTCGACAAACATATGCTTTAGAGCGTATTGGTTCTGGGTATGTATTAAATAAATAAATATAAATATACATATTTTTATTTTTTATTTTTTATTTTTTTTACAAAGAGTAACACATGTTTCTTTTTTCCTAAATAGCGGAAATGGTAAATTATATAAAGCAACAGATCACCTTACAAAACGAGTAATTGCCGTGAAATCAATCAATCTCATGGATTCGAAACTACTTAATGTTACTTATGCAGAAGTTATTGCTTGTCGAATACTTAAACATCCAAACATTATTACAAATTATAAACAATGTATAACCGACAATTTTACTGAACATTTCACTACTACTTCACTTTTTGAATCATCTGCTTATAAACATACTTTATTTAACGAGAATTGTTATCCAATG